ATGTAAGGTTGTTGTCGTCAGAGCTTGAACTGATTGTACTGATTTTCATTCTTGTTATCTCAGGTTGCAGACATAAAGCGGGCCAACAATCTTCTAACTGAGCAGGACTTCTTTGCGCTGCGTTCCATAAGGATCCCTGTGAGAAAGTTCAGCTCATTCACAGAAACTCACAACACCGCTCCCCACAAAAGCAGCTCACCAGGCGGCACTTGTAGAATCTCGGAGATCCTGATTTCTGGAACTTCCTTAGATTCCTCATCCTCTTCCTCATCTGTGGACAGCGTGGAGTGCTTCCTGCAGGAGAAGGACAAGGACATTCAGTTTCTCGTCAAGTCATCTGACCCTTCCAGGAGCGGCCTGAACGAGGTTGTGTCCTCGCTGGAGCAGCCGCTTTTGGGAGACCCCGAGCGTAGACCAGCCCAAAAGAAAGACCCATACTATGGTGCTGACTGGGGAATGAGATGGTGGACCGCAGTTGCCATTATGTTGGTCGTGGGCATAGTTACACCTGTTTTTTACCTGTTGTACTATGAAGTTTTGATGAAAGCAGATGTTAGCCACCATACTACCATAGACTCTATCAGGCCTGGACCAACACAGGCAGCTGCTGCTGAGCCTCATGGGCTACCACGGACCAGTGCTGCCTCTCACCTACAGCCTGCTCCTAAACAGCAACATTTTGTCAAGAATGAAGAGGAAACATAAAGGGGCACTTACATTTTAAGGGAAAATTAATTACATTTTAAGTGAAATTAACTGAAACACGTGAGAGGATCGAGTAATCACGAAATGATTCCAGTCCTGTCAGCATTTGTCCTTGATGCATTTTGCAGTTGATTGCTGGTTTTGTTATGTGTGTGTCACTCATGAGCCAGTGTATATCTCTGTACCTCTATTAAGCTCGTAGTTTGCATCAATGGCAAGCAGCTGATATATTGTTTAAGATATTTGCTGCCACTGTTTGGTTGTCAGGGAAATAAACATGGTAATTTATTTTAGAAAATGTAGAATCCAGATTCAGTATTGCAACTAATGGTAAAAAAAAAAAAAAAAGTTGCTGGTTTTAAATTTTTTAACTTTGCTTGTAAAAAAAGAAAAACAAAACTTAATGGAACCCTAATGGATTCCTGTTTTTTTTCTTCTAGCAAGAGCACAGGGATGATTTGTATAATATTCTCAAACATGTTAGATTCCATTGAAGTAGCAGAGATGTAAGCATTTCTATGAAACATGGAGTACACTGATGACATTTGATCAGTATGTGCCTTCATCCTGTAGATGCAGGTTGAAAATAAAGGAATTATATTTTAGTATCTGAATCTCCTAATTATTTTTAAGCTTTGAATGCTATGTTGACCATGTTGTCATCACTTCCTCCCCCGTAATCATCACCATCTTCATAGTAGTTTGCTATGTAGTCATTTTCCTATGGGAAGAAAAAAAAAGTTTGATCATGCATTGAGTGCTTTTAGTGCTCTGGAATTCAAAGTACATTTGTTATTGATTATTCAAACATGACTGTCGTGTCCTAAAATACTCTGTGCTGTCAAAACAGTTGCACTAAAATAGTTTTCCCAGTAACTGAAACCATGTTAGATATATGCGGGTACTTGGGTGTGCTCTTGACCGATGACAGGAATGCCATAAGGTTTGTTAATGAATGAATGAATACCACAGAAAAATAAATAAACACCACCTCACACACCTGGGGCCCGTTCTTCGTACATCGCTGTTAATAAAGAATAACAATTTGGTCCCTCAGTAAATTCTCTTTGCCACCTTGAAGAATTCTCAGTTACTTAAAGTGTAAATAAACGGCCGGGAAGTAAGAAAACACACAGTCAAATGTATCCTCAATACTTCGATTTATTCATAGAAATACAGATATTATATAGGCATATGTCGAGGGGAGTTTCATCCTCTTAACCAATGAGGATATGAATAACATACACGTAGGATCTTTGGCCAAGAACATGTGTTTATATAAAATAGCCACATGTACAGAAAAACATGGACATATTAGGAATAGACTTTTGCGAAAAATGCTGAACTGTCTTCATGGTTTCATCACGAACTCCTTTACCCTTGTAGTCCTAACATTCATGTCCTTATTGGGGACAGAAAAACAAGAGAAGCTAATGTATACATTTAAGCATGCATACTTCGCATATAAGTAAGACATATTTCAAACATAATATCAAGAGAGAGAGATGGATACAGAAGGAGGAATTCAGAGAGAATGCGTTGTATATAGAAGAATGAGAGAGAGGGAGAAAAAGGAGGGGTAAGACATGTCTGGACTCAACAGAAAGACAGAGAGTGTTTTCTAACAATCGCTAACTCAGTTAGCTGGATTTGATTGTTGACGATTTGGCATGATCTTGGATTGGTTGGTTCTTCGAAGCTCATCCCGGAGTTGCTGTCATAGCAACAGGTCCATAAGCTTAAACCTGCCCGGGAGCAGGCTTATTTCATGTAAACAGGATTAGATTGCATCTTTTTAAGCAGAATTGATACTTAAAACCTGTCCTCTACCACCGCTAATTTATTACAAGAGTACCCTACTAATCCAGGGACAATAATTTAAAAATAATCATTTAAAAATGTATTTAAAGATAATATAATGTTGTGTAGTCTTTAATACTACAGAATGCCAGTTTTACTCACAGAAAGATTTATTCGTCATAAAATTATTACCGGTACTTCATAATTGTATTCGAGTCTTACATGCTATACAAATAATGTAGAGTCGTGCATTCATTTGAGTTATTATAGCTATTATGTGTGGCTTGGTGGAGCACGCAGGAGATGCAGATAACTTGATCTTGACCCTTAAGAAACTTTAATTAATGCTGTCACGTAACAAATCTGTTCAAATATAAAATTAAATGAATTGCTAATTGCTACATTGAAATAAAAATGTAAAGCCTGTACAAATATTACAAATCGTGAATATAAATAATTGGGAATCATGTAAAAAAAAATTTAATAAAATAAAAACAGTGCACATTTCATTTATCTATTATAACATTTATGTACTTTTGTTCGCTTGGCTGTTTCCTTATAAAAGTCCAAAAATTTGTCAAGTTTTTCGTCAGGTGTCTTTTTTAATTATATGTCATTACGTTGCTGTCTTGCCGCCAGCCAATCGCTGCATTGCTGATCGTGGTTTCGAGTATCGATACATAGCCCCTTTTAAACCAACCCATGAACACGCAATTATCTCAGATAACACAATCCAGCCAGGTGCGTTCAAAGAACCGAGTTAGCCAGATCCTGATTAGCTTGGATTTGACATTTCATCTCGGATGTAATGAGCGATGTACGAAGAACAGGGCCCTGAATGTTAGGTGCATCAGATAAACATATTAGTAAATAAATAAGAAAATAGTGTCACATGTTACTAGTGTTGTAGTCAAGACCACCTAATCCGAGACCAAGACAACAGTCACCAAGACTTTGAGCGGTTGAGACAAAGACAAGACCAAGACCAGACCAGCATTGCTCAAATTCATCTAAAGGATCCACATTTGCTGCCTGAGAAATGCCTTATTTTAAATAATTAAATACAATAATAAGACACTTAGCTGTTACAGAGCTGTTACCAAACAAATGAAATCTTTAACAACAAAATTCATCTTTGAACTGCAGTGGTGGCACAAAAGCTGCATCTGAATTGGTACAATTACAAATGCATAAATAATGTTAAAAAAATTGTTTACTGGATGTTTTTATAAAAGCAATATATATTTTTTCAAAACAGTTCATATCGGTATTGGCCCCAAAAAACCCATATCGGTCGGGCTCTAATAAAAATCCACATCTCATACACTCGAGCACTTTTTTTTGCAACAATAGCTTGAATTTTGTGTGTATATGTATTAATTTTGGTGACATTTTTGACACAGTTCCTAATTTCTGACCCGGCATAACAGTATAAATCATTTGTTCTTAACCAGGGTCCACTATGGGGCCTCAACAAACTTCCAAGGGGACCTCAATATGACTTAAAATAGTTTAAAATAAAACAAAACAAGCATTAAAATGAACTAAAACACGTAAAAATCAAGACAAGACAAGACCAAGTACAAATGCGGTCGAGACCAAGACAAGACCAAGACCATCAAAAAATGGCCTTAAGACCGGTCTCGTACTACAACATTACGTTTTACAAACTAAAGGACAAGTCAAAGGAAAAAAAATATTCGAATGTTTCCATTAGTAGAATGAAAAGCTATTTGAAAAGCGGCTTTTAGCTTCGCACACACGTTTTGTTGTGATACAATCACACCAGTCTCGTGCTTAAGCATGCACTATTTAAGTGTTATAGTTAGACTAAAGTTGAAATTAAGAATTTTAATTTCTGTGTTAAATTTCCATGTACAACATGCTACAGATGCTGTTGAGAAAGAATTGTTTAACCTTAAATACTGCTATTAGTAAATGCTTTTACCTCTTCAAGCTCTTCATCAATTTCTTCTTCCTCGTCATCTTTCTTCCCTCCCTCTGCTTCATCCTCCTCGTCTGATTTTACGTCTCCCTTCTTTTCAAGTTCCTGAAAAACAAGCGCAAATTTAAGTGTTATAGTTAGACTAAAGTTGAAATTAAGAATTTTAATTTCTGTGTTAAATTTTCATGTACAACATGCTACAGATGCTGTTGAGAAAGAATTGTTTAACCTTAAATACTGCTATTAGTAAATGCTTTTACCTCTTCAAGCTCTTCATCAATTTCTTCTTCCTCGTCATCTTTCTTCCCTCCCTCTGCTTCATCCTCCTCATCTGATTTTACGTCTCCCTTCTTTTCAAGTTCCTGAAAAACAAGCGCAAGTGAGACAACAGCACAATCCAAACCTATATGTATAATGCAGTTCATTTAATACGTTTAGTATGTGATGACTTATGACTCTTTTGTGGCTTCAGCTCACAATCTACAAAGCAAGTTTATAATTTGTCTGAAATCAGACGATTAAATAGTACTCATAAGTGATTCCTGTATTACCCGGTGTCCAGTTGTCATCTTCAATTCTTTTAATTTCTCAAGTGTATTTCTCCTTGTGCCTCTCCACATCTGTGAATTATACTGGTGAGCACATTGGCAAACACTTTAAACAAGATAACTTTCTTTTAACTTCTAAATCTCTGACTTTTCATATTTTAAGTAACATTGTAAAAATAATAAAACAATCAAATAACAATCACAACTATTTTCAAGGTTATACTATCCCTAATCAGTTATACTATTTCACTTAAAGTTAAATAGATTGAATGTCTTAAGGCCACTGTTAAAACACAACATTGCCCTCAGTGCTCTCAATCATAGTAATATACTTAATTAAATAGTACTCATAAGTGATTCCTGTATTACCCGGTGTCCCAATTCTTTTAATTTCTCAAGTGTATTTCTCCTTGTGCCTCTCCACATCTGTGAATTATACTGGTGAGCACATTGGCAAACACTTTAAAAAAGTTAACTTTCTTTTAACTTCTAAATCTTTGACTTTTCATATTTTAAGTAACATTGTAAAAATAATAAAACAATCAAATAACAATCACAACTATTTTCAAGGTTATACTATCCCTAATCAGTTATACTATTTCACTTAAAGTTAAATAGATTGAATGTCTTAAGGCCACTGTTAAAACACAACATTGCCCTCAGTGCTCTCAATCATAGTAATATACTTTTACAATATGATTATCTCAGAAATCCTAAGACCCCAAGTAGGAAGCAATAGGTATTATATGTTACCAAAATTAAATAAAGGCTACTATACTCACCTCCCTTTCCTGCATGGGGTTTTATGTTAAATGGGAGGTCTTTCATTTGTCCTCTCATCTCTTGTTTCAAAGCTCTCATATAGTCTTCATCCTCTCCAGCTTTCAAAGGCCCTGGTTTATATTCAATTTGCTGAAAAGGAGTGCAGAATTATGTCTTAGATAGTGTAATGCATTTCTCTAAAACAAAAAAAAAAGAAGCAAAAGTCAGGGCTTTCTAGATAATGACTATCGGGCCTAAACAGAAGCAGATTTTAAAGTTCAGATGGAGGAAAAAGGAAGAAGAAAACAACTCACTGGGAAGAGTGGAGTTGGCCCTCTTTGGGTTTCTGGCATGGACCCTCTGGTGAGACCCAGGGCCTCAATGCTGAAAGTGAATGCTGCTATTCCTCTGCCATTTCCTGCCATTTTGGACAGTCAAATGTTCCTTAAATTTCCTGGGTGATGGAGGAGCTGATAAAGTATCAACTGGCCAAAGTATATAATTATGCACATAATTACTACTAGAGGCGTTGTAAACACATTGCGTCGTGGTAAGTCACGCGCGAGCACCAATGTGTATTTTGGCATCAATGACGTGAAACCTAAAACGCGCCATTTTTTTAATTGAATGTTAGGGATGGGCGATACCTCTTAGTTTATTTTCGATCTGATACCGATATTTTCAAATTAATTTTTTCGATACCGATACCGACCTATAAACTAAACTGATCTTTTAAATTATTAAAATAACATAAATAGTAATCATACTCACTTAATATTAGATTTTAAAGCCATGTTTTTTAACATTCCATAGGCCTATTTTGTTTACACTGTCAGAAATAAAATATACTATAATTGTATTTTAGCCCTTTACTGGGGCAGTAACCTCAAAGGTGCAACTATACCCCTAAAAGTGAGCATATTAGTTCCATACAAATATGCATGCTTTAAAGGTGGGGGTAAGTGATTTTTCAAAAACGCTTTAGAAAACGGATTCGGGCCGAATGGACCCTTTTCACAAGACTGTGATGACGTTTTAACGGTCATCAGCATCGTAAATCCTCGAAAGTTTTTCTTATTTGTATTTTTTAAAAATGATGTACATTTATAACACTATTCTTTGTATTATATCACCTTTGCATCAAATTACAAAAAGTGTTTCTAATGCAGCGTCTATGGGAGAGACTGTAAATTTGACATCGTTCGCTCTTCTGACAGCCGTTATCAGTCTCTCAATTTTTTTTCTTTTACTGAAAGTCATGAAAACACGTTTTCTTTTGCTATTTGAGCAAATGGGAATGCAAAACATATATTTGTGGTACTCGCCCATTCACTGCTATTCAAGTTAACCCAACTATGACGACTTCCGTTGCTGGGAAACCCGGAAATGTGAAAAAGGTCCATAGCAAAACAAACTTGTAGCCAATCAGCAGTAAGCGGCGTGTCTACTCATGATGTGGAGGAGAGAGAGTTCAGTGCACAGGACGGATATTAGCCGAGCCGAGTGACAGAAAGATAGAGATGGCGGATAAAAAACAAAAGAGGGAAACGTCTGCGGAACAAATGAAGGCATAAAGGGGTCATATGATGTTGCTAAAAATAACATTATTTTGTGTATTTGGTGTAATGAAATGTGTTTATGCGGTTTAAGGTTAAAAAACACATTATTTTCCACATACTGTACAATATTGTTTCTCCTCTATGCCCCGTCTTTCTGAAATGTGTCGATTTTTACAAAGCTCATCGGTCTGAAAAGCGAGGTGTGCTTTGATTGGCCAGCTATCCAGTGTGTTGTGATTGGCCGAATACCTCAAGCGTGTGACGGAAATGTTACGCCCCTTACCATATTGTAATGCCTTGTCCCGGCCGGAGCGACGAGACAAAAAACATTAAAACCCATTATAAACGAGGCATTTGTTGCATTGTTTTCTCTTCTTTCATTAGCTGATCTGTACTTTCAAATGCGCTTCCAGAGTTTCAATTTACGCTTCTAAAGTTTCCGTTTACACTTCTGACGTTTTCGTTCGCCATTCTGACACAAATCTCTCGTGGGGGCGGGGCTAGCAGCAGTGTGTTCTCATTGGCTACTGAGTTTTTGATTGACAGCTTCTTGACCTGGCAGTGAAGGGGTCAGTGACAGTGTTGCCTTGCCAGTGTGGATGTGAGTGATGAATTTCATTTGAATGATATGAAGATTTTTTTATTATTATTTTATCAGTATTTATCTGCTGCTACACAACATTGTTGAGATGATTTCTTAGGAATAGCACAGACGAATGATTTCATCATCATTATCATCAATCATTGTTGTTATCAGGATACTTGCGGTACGTTTTCTTGATTTAGACCAATCATTACAGGACCTGGTTATCTACATACAGTTACAGTCTTCAATTGGATCATATTTGCTTCGATTAGTTCATATTTTCCCCCTGCACATAATGTACAGTATTAAATGTACTGTATCTGACAATGACCGATGCCATTTTACAAGCGCGCTGTCAATCACTGCACTGTGATTGACAAGCACTACCATGCTTTTTCTGTGTCCAGATTTGACTGTAATAATAATGCAAAAATGGTCACTTCAGATGAATATTTCGGGCAAATCCTAATACATGCAAATAATTGTGACTGAAAATAGTTTCCAGTAACTAGGGAAAAACTTTTGACTATTAACAATCACTTCCGATCAACTGTCATACGTGCATGGGTTACAATTCACTTGTGTTATGTGGATTCTCAGAGATGGATTATTTTCTTAAAAATCTTTGTGTTTATGTCAAGAAAGAAAGTCATATACATCTGGAATGGCATGAAGGTGAGTAAATTAGAGAATTTTCATTTTTTGGGGTGTGCTGCTCCTGTAAAGACAGATATTGCATTCCATTACATAACATACACATTCACTGTTTTGTAACTTATACTGTAACAGGAACTGTTGAAAGGATCATTGCAGTTTAAAACATTATGAATTGTGAACATATTCTGTATATTATGTTCTTGTGCATGTTGTGTAGTAATGTAAATTATGAGAATACTGTGCATTACATGTATATTATGCAGTTAGTGTTTCGTGGATTCTGGTCTTTCTTGTCACAACATAATTGCATCCAAGACTTTCACTTTGATACTTCTGTATATGCTATAGTGACAATAAAGAATGTACATTTATTTGAACTAATTCATATTTTTATTTACATTCATTAAAACTGGTTTATAAAAGTCACACTTGAAAGAGTTGATGATTGTTAAAATGTATTTCCAACTTTAAACGTTAGATGATAATGTTAACTAAATAAAATAACTAAACAAAATTATCAGCATGTTAAAAACAATTGGCTGCAAGAACATTCTTCGTGTGGAATATGTAATAAAATGAGCTTGATTGCCTGGTTGGAAAGAGACTTTCTTGACGTATGAATATATCACACATATATGATAGTATTTCAAATGTAACGTCACAACCTAATTAGACCCTAAAATGCAAAAGAATCATGAGCAATAAACAAATATCCTACAAGAACATTGGACATTATACAATATTTCCAGTATTATATACAGTACTTTAATAATGAAACCTCAATATGACCTTCTTTTTCTCTCGCGTTTGATTCCTAGCGCTCCTAAAAGCTTATGTGGACAGA